CCCTAATATAGCAAGTACAGAAGTCGCATTCCGTCGTGTTTTTACAGCTTACAAAATTTGGCTGGCTAGACTAGGCTGTCATTTGCATTTTGTACTCTTAAAAATAGTTTGTTCTTTGGCCATAAAATGAAAGGACGTCATATCTTGCCTGTGGAGTTAAAACAGTCGTGCGTACCTTTACAACAAAGGATGCTCTGCAGTTCTGTAATTAATTAATGCCACTACCTGTGGGTGGAGAGACGTGTCTCAGCTCTTGATTCAGGTCTGAGGCTGGTCCTCAGGCAGTCAAAGATCGTTTCCTGGTCGTTGTGCAGATGCCACATGTGGCTTCAGGAAGCTTCTTGTTTTAGTAAGATGTATTCCTGTGTGTCACGGGTGGGTGGTAGTTCTTCCTTCCCCATACCCTTTGCTTTTGACTGTTTCAACAGAAAGTTCCTGAGGGTGGGGGTATTTTCTTACAAGCCATTAATACAAATGTACACAATATTAAGTACTTTTCAAAGTAGGATTTGTGGATCTCACTGGGCTGTGGGGATCCTGTTAGCATTTAGAGCTGTAAGCCCACCAGACAGTAAGCTGCACCCAGGAAAGCTTGGGAAGACCTGCTCTGGGTGCTACTATATATCTGAATTCAGTCATTACTGGGTAAAAAAAAAAAAAATCCTCTAAAAAAAAAAATCCTCCAGAACCTCTTTAGAAATATTTTTGTTTTCCTTCCTGTGTCTACAGTGGCTTTGTAGCCAACAGCATGACCCTTCTGCCAGTTATTTTTGGGCAGGTGCCAGGAAATGAGCCCATTGAGCCAAATGTTTCTCTCAACCTGACGCGTTTTGGACTTAAGGGTTGGTGCATCAGCTGCCCTTCCGTGAGCGGCCTTGGCAGGGAGTGTTGGGTGGCAGGAGAAGGGAGGAGATTCTCGTTGGGCTGACAGGCTGGAAGATCAAGTGTCCCTGCTAAGCTCTTCTGGCGTTTTTAAAAACCAGAAATTTAAAGCTTAAAAGGAAGTTTTAAATTTGTAGTCAAATTTTTGCGTGCTCCTGGGTAACGCAATAGCAGACTCTGAGCTGACATCCCAGTCCCCAGCCTCTCCTTCATGGGCACAAGGCTCTGGACTAGGTGTGACCAGTCTAACTGGTCTCTCATGTTCTTGATAAACTTTTCTTGAACTGCTCAGCGGCAACATATGGTTCAAGAAGCAGATTTTCTGCGTATCGCTGCCATTCGCAGAGCAGGAGACGGCGTTAGATGTGTAGCCAGAAGGCTCAGACTTGTTTTGGAGGGGAGAACAGCAACTGGTCCCAGCATCCTTCCTTCCAGGCCTGTACTTCATGTGAAGTGCTTTTGTAGAGTCAGTTAACAAACCGTTCCAGTTGTAAGGAGCCAGGTTCCTCTGTCTCGGTCTGCACCGAGTGGCATCCTCCGTGCAAAACAAAGGTGCTGCACAATTTCCCTCTGCGTGCCGTACCCACCGCACGTGGGCAGGAGTGGGCTCAGGTCCTACTGGGCAGCTTTCACCATGAGCTGAAAAGGTTTTTCAGCTCTGATTTTGCAAACGGGAGGATGCGTGCCAGGGAAAACAGTTGGCATTTGAAGGATTAGGCCCCGAGTAAGGATGCACGAACAAGTGCTCGGCGGCTCCGGTGGCTCAATTAAGCATTCTTCATCTCGCTCTTTGCTCCTCATGTGCACGAAAGGCTGATTTATTTGGAATGAAACCCATGAAATGTGCTAATACCTGCTCTGGTGTTGATCAGGCTTAATGTAATAACCTCCTCTCGTTTTCGCTGATTCTGCTGAGCAATGTGACGCACTTAAAACTTTTCTTTTCATGAATAGGTCGCACGAGCCTCCGGAGGCCTTTGTCAAAAATAAACCCACCACTGAACTGCCTGAAACAGGAGCTAGGGAATATTTTCCTGTCCTGTTGGGCATGATTGGATAGCCCATATTAGAGGGAGACTCTTGAAAAAATAACTGTTTGTTGAAAGAGAGTGAATATTTACAGTATGGGCAGACCCTGGCTGGTATAAATCAGTGCAGCTCCAACAGCTCCATCACACAGGGAGCTCCGAGGGAACTGGGAACCTGGTCATTGCTGGAAGGTCAGCTCCTTTCCTCGCTCAAGGAGCCCAAGGAAACTTTCCCTCCCATCCAGTCTTGCAGCTGGATTCCAGCTGTCCCTCCGCACGGCGCGTGCAGTACACGGGAGCGTAATTAAGGTGTAACCATCGTGGGGGGGGCTGCCATTAGGTGGCAATGGGGAGAGGGAGGGAGGGAGCTCGGGGAGAGGAGTGGGAATAGGGAGCTTCTCATGCTCTGTGGAAGGAGATATTGTCTCTGCACTCACCGTCAGCTCGAGGGCTTCGTTCAGGAGGCCGTTGCGCTTGCTGTGAAGGTAAGCGTTGGAGCTGCCCGTCTTGGCCACGCGGATCCTGGCGAGCCGGGCTTTCTGTGGGGAAGGCAAAGGAGCTGGAGTTACCGCTGGGCACGCTGAGCTGTCCCCTGCGCTGGTGATACCGGGAGGAAGGACACGTCAGGTTGTCCTTCTACCGGAGAAAGCCCCGGGGTTCTGTGGGGAAGGCAAAGGAGCTGGAGTTACCCCTGGGCACGCTGAGCTGTGTCCTGCGCTGGTGATACTGGGAGGAAGGACACGTCGGGTTGTCCTTCTACCAGAGAAAGCCCCGGGGTGAAACACGGGGGGTGCACGGACAGGACGGGGTGGGTGCTGCTGGGAGCAGCTCGCTCTGGTCTGGCTCCAGGAGTCAGATGGGTACTGGTGTCTAAAGAACATAACCTGCCAGAGGGTGTTAATAGCCCTTCCAGAGGTAAGAAACGGAGTACTGTGGCTTTGCTTATCCTTTCAGAAGTTAATAGTAGTTTTTTTGGGGGGTGAGATGCGCAGTGTCTTGGAATACGTCGTGGCATATGGCACGGGATGACTGTGTGATCTCGCCATGTGCACGTGCTCTGCACGCATGTTGCTTTCGTGGCTCACCTTCTCTCTAACATGCTTGGTTGTTTAATCCTCTGGCTTTTAGCTCTGTCCCCTGACATCTGTGTGGTCACTTGTTCTGCTCGTACAGCAGCCAGCGTGGTGACACCTGGTCCTCAGCCGTGGTGACACCTGGTGCACTGTCCTCTGCAGTGGCACTGCTGGTTGATTAACTTTGGTATCTGGTCATGTATGACTGTCCAAAAATACGCATCCCTCTAGGTGATTAACTTTGGTATCTGGTCATGTATGACTCTGTCCAAAAATACGCATCCCTCTAGACATTTCTGCCTAATATTGACAGAAGTAACTC